ACAGAGGAGCTTGTGCGTGTCCTTGAATGCAGCCTCCATGCACTCTGACAGCAAGGCCTGAATGAATGCAGAAAGAGAGAAGGAGAAAGAGGAAAGATTTTCTTTATAGTGGGGAGACAGTGGATTCAAGGTAGGGTGTAGTCTACACAACTCCTACTGTCTGTAATGCTGAGGATGCGAGTTCGGCTCCCGATAGCGGACAGCAGCCCCACGTGCAACTACAACTTGCCTTAAATATGAATCATCCACCTAAGTAACGTTGTGCCCGTTGATGTGATGTTCGCCTATCAGTTAAAGAGGAAGTTATAACGCTTGAAGTACAACCAGAAGTATTGAAGATCTTGGCCAACAAGACCAAATGCATTAAAAATAGACTGCTTCCGGTCATACATGTGTAGACTGCCACGTGCATTGGCAGTGCAGAACTTCGACGTTGTTAACTTAATTAAAAACAGTGAAAATGCTTGCGTAATGGAGTAGTTGATTTGTATGCCATCACAGGGTTAAGGCAAGTTGTGAGGACGGCTAAGAAAAGCCTGCCAAATTGAACTCGTGCAGTCAAGGCCAGTCTTAAGTGAAATAGCAGGCCACGTGGTCAAGCGACGGTGTGAATGAAGGGTTATGGAATGCAAGACTATCTGAAGTCAGTTACCATTACACGACCAAAAAATCGTCGGGTGGAAGTCATCACAGTTATGACAAAGCGCTAGACTAACTGTAAATAGTAATTTGGGAGAAATAAAAAGTAATGACATGGGTTTGATGTAATTATCCACAGAGTCATCGCAGCGAATTCCACCCATCATCTGAGCATCTAGAGCTGGACCAAAAGCTGGCGATCGCTCAGCCTTTCGTCTCGTTGCGCGCAACCAGGGATTAGGTACGTCAAATAATTAGCGAAGCAGGTTAAATGATGCAAAAATAGACTTCTCCTAGTTACACTACGAACCCATTTCCGTCAGTATAATTAACTGAGGCGCCCCACGGATCCTTAGATATTGCGTTTAGCCCATGTAGGGAACCTTACACGTGGAGGCGTAAGAGGCGATCATCAGGATAACTCTAGGAGAGTGTGAACGACATATACACGGCTACAAAAGACAGGAAAAGACCCTAGCAGTCTTGGCACACTATAAATGTACCAGAGTGGAACAAGTCATATTACGACGGGGCGACCCATCCGTAAAAGACGGATCGGAGGCAGACACTAGACTACTGACACCATCAAGCACTGGGGTTGCCCCCAAACTTCACTTGGTGTTTTGCAAAGCCTACATGGCTTTACGGACACACCTTACGAGCAAGTAAGCGACCCCGTCATGGAACCACGCCCGAGCAGACAACCCGATATAGAACCCTGAGCATCACGCGGAAGCACACCGACGCGCGCAGCAGTGTCTTCTCCCCCTCGCAATGCTGGCTGTGCAGGAAACATGCCAGTCTCTACTACTAATACAAGCGAACATGCGAGTCCCATTGGATTTGGGGGGCCGTGAATCATGACTCAAGTAAGTATCGGCTCACCCGATTGTCACCTCTTGTGAGAATTTCGGCCTCATCAAATTTGAACGTATGACCGGGTCTCGTCGAATGAGCCGCAACTTGACAAGTGGCAATTTGCTTTGACGGATATCTATTTGGCTACGCAGTCCACTTGGTTTGTACAAGCTTAAAGTACAAATTAAATTAGAGGACTTTGGCTGGACACACTCGACAGCATCGAAAGACAATCCAGCTTACTGATTTTGAACGCTAACAAGAGGTCTAGCTAAGCTCGTCGCCAGCATTGTT